CCAACACAACATGCACACAGCCACACCCAACATACTTCATTTTTTAGCTATTATTCAATCACCTCTATGTACACTGTGCAAACACACATAAATCAAGACAAAAATCAAAAATATTTTTTAAAATAAAATTAAAATGTTATAGTAGAAGCTTGCAGGGGGTAAAAAGATATCAGATTCACCCAAGGAACCTTGTCTGCCATAGTAGATGCTTGACTTTTGATATATGATTTGGTTTTTTTTCTGGTTCCAAGCTAGTACAAGGAGAACCTCCAGTGGCAAGGGGAGGGACTTCTAGTGGCAAAGGTCAGGGGGCTAGGGGACGGGACTTCTGATCCCAAGATGATGACCAGGGGGCAGGGCACCTGTCAAGAGGCAGGGCTACCACTGCAGCCCTCGACAGCTCACCAAAACTCATGAAGCTGCCCTCCAGCTAAAATAATTGCCTACCCCTGATCCAGTTAATGGTCTTCTCTGGGCATTAAGGATGCCCTCCTCCTAATGAAAGGGAGAGTGGTTGCTTTTAGTCCACCATATGAGCTGCCCATCGCAGCAAGGAGCAGAGCCAGGGAACTGGGCTCACGTGCAGATTCTGGGACTCGCACACCACAGTGGGGACGCCCTGCACAATGGAGCCAGGGGCCTGGCTCCGCTCCCTGCCACAATGTGCAGGTCCCAGGACTCCACTGGGAAGCAGGGCTTCCTGCCATGTCCGCAGAGTCCAACAAGCTGCACATGGCAGTAGGCAACAAGGCCAGGCCACTGGCTCCATTGTGTGGGGCTTCTCCTGATGCTACACAAGTCTCAGCAGCTGCACATGAGCCCTGCATGACAGAGGTAAGCCAGCCTGGCTCTGCTCCTTGCAACCACATGCAGTTCCCAGAACTGGATGGAGCCACATACCATCAGGTAACTGTGCCTGCATGGGCCACGAGCATCCCAAGAGCACACTGCCTGCTGCTACTGCCGCTGGTGGCAGGAGCTGTGTACCGTGGAGCGGTTCCCACACACCCCCACCCTCTCTCACACCCACCCTGCCCACACCCCAACACAACATGCACACAGCCACACCCAACATACTTCATTTTTTAGCTATTATTCAATCACCTCTATGTACACTGTGCAAACACACATAAATCAAGACAAAAATCAAAAATATTTTTTAAAATAAAATTAAAATGTTATAGTAGAAGCTTGCAGGGGGTAAAAAGATATCAGATTCACCCAAGGAACCTTGTCTGCCATAGTAGATGCTTGACTTTTGATATATGATTTGGTTTTTTTTCTGGTTCCAAGCTAGTACAAGGAGAACCTCCAGTGGCAAGGGGAGGGACTTCTAGTGGCAAAGGTCAGGGGGCTAGGGGACGGGACTTCTGATCCCAAGATGATGACCAGGGGGCAGGGCACCTGTCAAGAGGCAGGGCTACCACTGCAGCCCTCGACAGCTCACCAAAACTCATGAAGCTGCCCTCCAGCTAAAATAATTGCCTACCCCTGATCCAGTTAATGGTCTTCTCTGGGCATTAAGGATGCCCTCCTCCTAATGAAAGGGAGAGTGGTTGCTTTTAGTCCACCATATGCAGTGCTGTCTGCATATTATGTATGGAGGGAGGAGACTGGGAACATATTAAGTGCAGATACCATGAAGTCATCTCAATGAAGTGAAGGTTCATAAGTTTTGGCAACCTCTAACAAGCTCTACTGAGCATGTACAGAGGGCAACTTTCAAAAGCTGAATAATTCAGAGATCTCAGTAGATTTTTGTGTAGTGCATACAGATAAAGGCACTGCTCTGACCTATCAGGTTTCAAATTCCTGTCCAAGCATGAAAGTGCTACAGCTCAAAGAAAAAGCTGGAATATATTTTTAACATTAGAAAATCTATTTTTCAATAGCCTAATTCTGAGGAATCAGTAGAGAGCCAGTATGGATCATTTCAGCCTGGAATGCTGAAATTAGGCAAAATTAGAGAAAATTGGAAACAAGAATTTACAATAAAATGTCTTAAACTATCTACATGGTGAACTAACAGTCCCCAGTGATAGCATCCTCGAGCTTGGGAAAGCTGCACCTATACCAGAAACAGTGAAGCCACTGCTTAGCAAAGTTTGGGACAGGATAAATAGCACTGCTGTGCTACAGCACCAATAAACCTGTCCCCAAAGTAATTGGCTTGAAATCACATTTCCAATTTAGGAGACACCCTAAGATATAGCTTTAGACAACACTACCTATAGGTAGGGACCTACCAAAATCACAGCAAAATACTTAAAACTGTTTCTCCCTTGCCTTCCAGCTGATCAGCAGCAACCAGTGGGGCTGCTGGGTCCCCTCTGCCAACCGGAGGAAGGGGGGGAGCACAGCAAAACAATCCAAATTATAGGAGCCAATGCACAGCGCACTTCCGCCATGATTTCTGTAGGTGCCGACCAATAGGCACCACTGTGGCATTAACCTATTGCAGCACCGTAGTTACCATTTTATAGGCAGTGAGGTAGCAAGTACAGAGGGCCAGCGGCAAACATACAGAATTATATATATGCACACAGGGTATTGTGCCATCAATTATTAGGAATGAAGAGCCCTTGAGAAATAGCCTAAACTTGTTGAAAACATACAAATACATTTAGATTAAAAGCACTCATGGACAGGAACTGTTGTTCTGTAACATACAAGTAGAATGGATAACACACTAGGATGCTGACTGCTAACTGAAGTAAGAAAATAACTCAAAAGAAATAATATTTTGTAATAAAAGGGAGTTGATATATTTTGTAGTCAGGATTAAAGTCTTGTACAAGTTTACAATTTTCACATTTACTTCTATTAAATGTATTGACTATAATAAAATCAATAGTAGCAGCTGCTTCTAAAGTTTGTGAAAGAAGCTTTACAGAGAACTACTCAAATTATCTGTTCCTAAATAACCTTGAACTGAAATCAACAATCTTTGCTACAAATGCATGTGGTACTTTACATTGTAATACTGATAATATATCGTATTTAACTCTGAACACATTACCAAAATAAGTTCTTGACAAATTGGAGGGAGTTCAAGGGGAAAAAAACAACCAACATTTTCATGAAGCACAAATTACTTATTTATGAGGAAATATTAAAAGAGCTAAATATTTACAGCTTGGTCAAGTAATGAATGAGGAGGTAGGGACTATGAGAACAGTACAGATACCTGAAGACTGAAAACATCAAGCAGGAAGAGTTATTGGTTTACACAAGGGCATACTGAAAAGATAAATAATTAAAAGGGATAAAATGAAACAAGGAAAACTTAAACTGAATATCAGAAAACACTTCTGCACAGAAAAACATATCAGCTTATAAATAGTCTCAACAGGGAAGCACTAAGTGCCCAGTGCTTGGCATTTCAAGGTTATTTAGGAACAGATAATTTGAATTGTGCCATAGGAACAACCTTGCACTGGTAAGCCAGTGAACTATATGCATTGCTAACTTTTAGGATTCTGTAATAAAAATGGCATATGCTTGACAAGTTGCAGATAAAATAGTTAATTGTCTTTGTTTATAAGGCACATATTAAAAAATAATATTAAATTCTTCTCCAGAAAACAATAGTGTAAAAAAAAAAAAAAACTGAAGCCCTCAAATAAGAGATTTAAATGTATTCATTTAAACTGTAAGTTACAGTCATTTATTTTTTAATTCTGTCAAGAGGAAAAATACATCTAGCCTACTCTAAGCACAATTAAAAGAGCAGGGATGCATTTCCTCCAGCAGAGGTCACTCCAGGATAACAAATTATAAAAAAAGTCATTACAAAGTTAATGTTTATTTTTACAAAATATACTGTTAAATTCTTCTCTCTATGTCCTGCAGTTCTGAGGCACATATGACTATGACAACAGATACAGAAAGCAGCATGCTGGGCAAAATGTAACATAGTTATGGGGTAGGAAAAATTCCTGACCATCACTGATCTGCTGTGGGAATTTGGACAATTAAGCCATTTCCCCTCTTGCCTTTTATCTGACTGGTCTATAAGCCATATGCCCTGCAGGAAAAATTAAAAAAAACAAAAAGCCTCTCAATTTGTGTTTGTACAGCGCCTAGCGCACACAGTCCGCAATCTTGGTTAGACTCTCAAAGCACTACAAACAATAACAGCACAGAGAGTCTACCCAATAAAATATGAGTGGTATTTATTTTCACAGCATTTTACATCCACAGATGTAAAAGGCCTTCATAAAAGTGAGCAACTATTAGCATCCATTTATGGATAGGTAAGTAAATGACTTGAGCAACTATTAGCATCCATTTATGGATAGGGAAGTAAATGAGAAAGGTAAAAGAAAAAAGCTGTGAGTGCAAAAGTGGAACCTATGCTGAAACTCCAGTGAAATATGCATTCTAATGTCTTTAGTTAAATTGGAAACTTCAGTCCAATCTATTTCATATTTCTTATGTGAAGTTTGCAAAGCAGAAAAGACTCCTCAAAGAACAGAAAAGAAATGGTTACAGTTTGTGGTGCAGGGGAGAGGCACACACTAAAGAACGCTTGCTAATTCAGAACAGTTTAAAGCGTGAGCATAGCTAGCAAAGTCCCTCTTCAAAAGTGACGCACAGGATCCATATTTATCCTCTCCATTTGCTCTGTACAAAAGTCTACAAATGACTATTTGAGAACCAGCCCTACTAAATCTCTAATCTGACTATCAAACAGTTGGTCTCAAATAGTCCGAGCAAGGTTCCAGCTGCTGACTAAAAAGCAAAGGTCTCTATAAACTATTACTAATCTTCTGAACCACCCGAGTTTCCTGTGTATTTTTGTTTAAATTACTTAAAATCCTTTGTGGAATTTGTTGCAAAACTTTACAAAAATAGGAAGGCAAAAAAGACCTAATTGTTTTAGATCTTTCTGTCTGATGAACTGCATCTATACAATATCAGTAGGTGGATTTGCAGAGTAAGTGAAATCATAAACTGAATAGCAGTATCACATCCTAAGCAAGATGCAGAAACCTTACCTGCTTCCTTGCATAATGCTGCCAAGTCTGCTCCCACATATCCATGGGCACTGTCAGCCAGCTGCACCAACTCTGTTCCAGTCAGCAGATGAGGAACCTGATGAAGAAGCTTGCTCAGTATGTCTAGTCGGTCCTGTGCATTTGGAACTCCAATTTCTATCTCTTTATCAAAACGCCCAGGTCTCCGTAATGCGGGATCCAGTGCATGAGGACGGTTTGTGGCACCTAACACCAAGAGCTGACCTTCACTACCCTCCTAAACAAGCCAAAGTAAAGGAGAAAAAAGGATTAGAAAGTAAACCTTGAAATCTTACTGAATTTATTAAACACAATTCAACATTAACAACTATCTTTCTGATCTGAAACAGAAGTTCAATAAACCAATTTAACCTAAATCAGTTCAATCCATCCTGGCTCATCTTAAACCAGTTTCAGCCATTTTGAAAGCAGTTTATATGCACTGAACTTCTGTTACATTACCAATCTGAACAAGCTTACTATCATTTTTACCGGTTTATGTGTAATTTCCGTCCATGGCCCCTATGAGCTTTCCACAACAATTTCACATAAAGCCTCCTTTCTAGCTACAAAAAACACCGCCACACAAAGCACTTTTCAACTCATTAGACCAGAAATTATCCAGCGCAGGAGCTCCTGGGAAAGAGAATGAGCTGATGGTAATAAACTGAAGACAACAAGGGGGGACAACAACAGAGCCAAATGAAATTTCAGCCTTCTGGAAAACGTTGATATTTCTACATTGGCCTTTGACCCAAATCAGAACAAAGAGTTTACATTTTGTAAATAAATATAAAAACTATTACCATACATACTCAATTACAAGACAAGGTTTTTCTTGCCCATATAACATACAGGGAAAAAACTCCTTGCCTTACAATCAAGTACAAGGTCGCAGGGGACTGACTTTCCCCATCTCCCCCCGGCTGCTCCCCCCTACACCTGCCCCCAACACCTCCCTCCAACACTTGTCCCTTTACTACCTCCCATCATTTGCCCTACTATGTGCCCCCTGCCTGCCCCATTACTGCCCTCCTCGCTACCTCTCACCCCACTGCCTGTAGTAGTGGGGAGGATGAATTTAAGCTGATCCTCCCTCCAACAGTTAGATTCCAAACACATACATTATAATAAATTTATGAATTTTCCATGTATAGAAACTAATTACTAGGGTAATTCAGGATCATTTTGTATTCAGGTAAAAACAGTACTTATTTTGTTTGGCTTGGTTTTTTAATATGTCCAAACTTTTTCAAGTTAAGGTCTATACTGAACTGTTTTTTTCCTCTTGCAGCACATTGAATCATCAGAGTCAAATTTTAGACAGTCTGATGCCTCCATCCCACCTCGCATGACATCTTTCATGCTATCCCCACAGCTATGAACCTTCCAAGATGAACCATGCGCCCAGTCAGAGGAACGACTCACGCATGACAGAAAATCTAATGACTGCCAATAAGTCCAGCCCACAGGAAAGAATGGATATTCAAATCAGAACTCCCATACAGATTAACCAAAACACATGTGACCTAATTCAGAACAAAGATGGGAATGCTGAGATTTATTTTTTGCTTTATAAAAAACTACCTTGCTTTTGAAACACGAGTCTCAGCCTGTCCTGAACTAGATATCGGCATACAGACTAACAGGCCTTCTCCTTGTAAGATTATGTGATTGACCAGTAAGTGTGAGGGTATTTGTTTAGACCAGAGGCAGGCAAAGTCTGGCCTGCAGGCTGGATCCGGCTGGCAGCGGACTCCATTTCCCAGCAGCCCCTGCCCACATGGCTGGGGTCAGTTTCCATGGAGACCCCAGCAACAACCATGCTGTGATAGTGGGGCTGGGGTTTCTGTGGAGACTGGCCCCAGCAGCACTGACAGGCAGCAGCAGTGGTGCCAGCCTCTTCCTGGCGGGGTGGAGAGGGGACGCTGAGAGAAGGCTGTGCTGTGGACAGGAGCAAGGTGGGCTCAGCTGCCGCTGCCTGTGCAGACTGGGAAGCAGCAGCACCACTAGGAGGGTTGGCTACAGGAGGAGGCTACAAGGAATTTTGGGATGGCTACAGCCCCCCAAGTCTCCCCCTCCCCAGCACTGCCTCTACTGCCAGGGTGCATGGTAGGGCAGATTGCTGCTCCAGAGCCAGGCTAGGATCTTGCGGCAATGACAGCATGATCCAGAGCCAGGGCAGAGCTGCGATCTGTGGCCTGCATGCCCCGGGGAGGGGCATGCAGGAAGTGGATTGCAGCTCTGCCCCAGCTCCGGACCATGCTGTCACTGCTGCAAGGAGCCAGGGCAGAGCCATGTTCTGCTACCTGCATGTCCCTGCCCAGGGTATACAGGCTACAGATTGCAGCTCTGCCCTGACTCTGGACCATGCAGTCACCACTGCAAGATCCCAGCCTGGCTCCAGAGCAGCTCTATGCCCTGCCAGCACTGCTGGGGCTGGTCTCCACAGAAACCCCAGCCTTGCACACCAGTTGCTGGGATCTCCATGGAAACTGACCCCAACCACACAAGCAGGGGCTGCTGGGAAATGGAGTCTGGCTGCCAACCAGATCTGCCATTTTGCCCACCCCTGGTTTAGACTGATGCACTGGGAAGGCAAGAGACAGTATGCTCTAATAGAATAGTAAGGAACTGTACTGAAAGTCATAATATCTGTCTTTCTGCATAACACTGCCACTGTTCTACTGAACTACGCAGAAATGGGCAAGTGGAGTTTCACAAAGATGTGCCCTGGAAACAATTGATGTTTTCATTAATGACTTGGAAAAATAGTATGCTAATGGCATTTGCTGTGCTACAAAACTGGGAGACATCATGAGCAGAAGATGGCCAGAAAATTATACCAGATAAGCCACAGGATTGGAAATGTGATAAATTTTAATAGATAATTTTAATGGAAATGGGGTAAAATTTAACAAATAAACTGAAACTGGAACAGGTGCAGAGAAAAGTGGTAGAAAATCAGGAAAGGAATAACCTATTTAACCTCGTAAAATGAAGGCTGAAAGGGGACATGATTACTCTCTCGTGACATCAAGGAGAAAAGCAGCGGAGTGGAAAACAAACTATTCAAGGAACAGGATAGTACTGACACAAGAATAAATAAACCTAAATAAAAGGTTAGGCTGAAATGTATAGCTGCTTACAGATGTAATCCCCCCTCCCACCAAAAAACTAGTGCTTTACTTTCATCTTGGTGCGCCCCCCACAGCAAGCACAGTGCACGCCCAGAAAAGATATCATGTTAGTTTGACCCAGCTTACCCAACATCTGTATATATTGCATGCTTCAGCAGCAGGGCTTTTTAGTGCTTTTAACTAATAGTTGATTGCATCAGCTTTCGATAAAAGCACCAAAAAGCCCCGCTGAAGCACCCCATCTATACAGACGCTGCAGAAACTAACACGCTTCCTCCTCTGGTAAAGCGCTGTTTGTTTGGGGGTTTTTTCACATCTGTCAGCACCCTATGAGAATATTTCTAGCCATCAAAGAAAGGAGAGTATATAACAGCCCTTCAGCA